TAATTAATTAATGATAATTGTATTTAAATTGACAATATTTAACTATTATTTTGTGTTTCTCAACCGCCAGATACATTTGAAAAGGTTGCTAGCTGTGTAAACTACAAAGTAAAGCTAAAACAAAGCAATTTTGAGAGGAACGCCAAAAATAATTTAAGTTTTGAACACTTTATATCGCAAATACGAGACATTGAAAAAAATTGTTTCTTATACCTAACCAATTCAAACCCAAATTTTGACTAGTTGTAATTATAAACTTAGAATATTCGCAGTATGTCACCATTTACTTGGCTTATTTTGTTTTGCGGACACCGACGGACTCACTTTGTGGCAAAATGTTTGTTTAACTGCATGTGTGGGTTTTCATCAAAATCGTTCGACCTTTTGAAGGCTTACATCTTGCAGGAATTTTTCGTCATCTTACACATTGGAATGCCAAATAATTTACTCACTTTTTACAAATTAAAGCGTTTTGCAAGTCAAAATTAGTCAGCATCGCAAACTTCAAAACACAGCGCTTATGACAATGTGAGGCACCTTACATTCTCTGAAATCAGTGCTGTAGCCAGGGGTGAGGGGGAGGCGGGGGGAGACGACCGCCCTTCCAATCGCTGACTAAGTCTCGATCTAAGACAACGACAATTTACTGGAGGAGCTTGATGTGTAAAATCTCGCAGAGGAGTTTCTATATATGGTTCCAAGAAGAATGGATTCAGCTTATATTTTCAACTATTAAATGGCATGTATGTCATTTTAATCATTCACAGCCAGAAACCGTCGTGGCTATAAGGTATGCCGAAATCTGGTATCCTTCAAAGCCACAAACCGCCTAGGCTGCAAGGTATGGCGAAATCTGGTATCCTTCATAGCCACAAACCGCCTAGGCTGCAAGGTATGCCGAAATCTGGTATCCTTTATAGCCACAAACCGCCTAGGCTGCAAGGTATGGCGAAATCCGATATTCGTAATAGCCACAAACCACTGTGGCTATAACGAATACCTAAAATCATGCAGTCTGCTCATAAGCATGCTCAGGAGGATATTACAGTGCTTTGGTATATATACGGGCGTTCTCATCATGAGCAAACCAAAATCCAGTATGCTCATAATTATGCTCATGAGCATATTACAGCATTTTGGAACATATATGAGCGTGCTTATGAGCATGCTAAAATCTGGTATCCCATAAGCACACTCATTCATTCACGAAAATCATACTTTTAGGTATAACAAAGAGTATTCAAAATAGACATATCACAAGCATCATACTCAGCTGAGTACACTACACCAACACAGAAAAACCCCTGAAAAATATAAGGAGAATTTCGACTTTTCGAAAAAAGGCCCTTTGTATTAACTCCAGATGAAGGGTCTTCGCTCGAAATGTTGAAATTCTCCTTATATTTTCAGGTAGTTGTTTCCCCACCAACAAAAGCTTGCATTGTCAGCGGCAATTGTCTTTTGCTGCAGCAAATTGCAAGGACTATATTTCACATCAAGTTATGTGGCAAACTGCAGAATATTTTTGGCTAACTGAAGAAAAAGTAAATGTACAGCCATGTTTATAGCCATGTTTGGCTAAACAAGTAGTCTTTTTTAATTTAAAATCCTCATTTGAATCATGTACTACAGCAATTTAATCCAATGTGTAGGCCTAGGGGAAAATTTTTGAGGAGATGCAAAAGTTATGGTTATAAATGACATCTGTATATTTGTAAAACTTACGTGACATAATCCATGAACGTTGCCAGAGGTTCGACAGCCTGATTTCTTAAATGTCGAAACTCTGTGACCATTTTTTCTCGAAGTCTGTCATCTATGACAGAAACAGAGAGAGGACCAGCCTCGTTCTGTAGAAAACTGCCATAATCTGTACTTTGCAAATGTAGCTTCAAGTCTATAAAATATTGAGTGCAACGTTGACCAACCCCAATAGTCTGGCAGGCTGAAAAGTTAGGTTTCAATGATTTGTCGCAATTATTAAAGAATGGGTCATCCCAGTAAACATCCATACCACCCCCACGGAGGAAATTGGAAGTTAATCCCCCTACCCCCTCGGATGTCCTAATACATTTACTATTATCAGAAACAATTTTGTCTCCCCTCCCCCTCCGGACGGCAGAAATTTCCTCCGTGGGGGGAGTGTGGATCTTTTCTGGAACAACCCAATCACAGTCAACCGTGATGCTTTGCACACTAAAATGTTTTGATTGTTTTGTATTCCGCCATTTTATTAGCCACTTTAGTGACAAAAAATTGACATCCGAAGCGTATCCTTATCATTATTCTTAAACAATGTCATTTTTTCAAAGTTGGAATATGTTATTAGATCATTGATTGAGATTTTGGCATGTCCTTTGGACGGAAAGGAAGCCTGGGAATACAGGGGCTTTCGCACAGCGAGTTCGCCGAAACCCTGCTCTATCAAAGCATAGACAAACAGGGCTGCAAATTACTGTCGGACATCGGACAATGTCCGACTAAATTTGGCAAATGTCCGAGCAAAAGTAATTTTGATCAGACATTGGTCCGATCACAAAAAAAAATTGTCAGACATATACATTTTTTTGCTGTGACAAAATCCGATTGCAAATTCACACAATTTGCATTTTGCAATAAAATTTACGAGGCATTCTAGCGTTTTACTTAAAGTTGCGCCGGAATGGCTATACATACTTGTCTTGTGACTTTTGTATATGTTGTGACGTATACGGTATATGTCCGACCAAATTTAGTGGTGTTGGTTTTTGTCCGACCAAATTAAAGTTATGTCGGACCAAAATTAAAAGTGATCGGACAAATGTCCTGCCAAGTCAAATATTTATTTGCAGCCCTGACTGCATGAACATAGCAGGCGATGGGGCAGGAATCAGGATTTCATCAAAACACCAGCGAGTAAATGTATTAACTGTGCTCAAATTCTATTTCAGAACCATCCTCAGAGATACGAAAAACCAGTTTCATATCATACTGACACTGCAATCGACCAAAAAAAAATTTGATGGCTCGAGCGGGATTTGAACTTGCATCTTCGGGTATCTAGACCGTCAAATTGTTACGGCAAAAGTGACGTTTTCAAACAATTTTGCTCCAGCGGTTGTGTGAATGCAACGGCTAATTGCGGCGTTTCTGTGCCGTTTTTCAAACTGCTCCTGCAGAGTGTGAATAAGGTCTAAGCAGACAATGTGATTCAGTTCCAAAGCTGTCAGCTTGCTGGAGGTTTAACCATGTAAATATTTGCTATTTTTTATCCAAAACTGTCGGGCAAAATCTATTTTGGATTTTGGGTTGTAAGATGAATTCAAAATCAAAGATAGATTTTGTAGATGCAAATTTTATAGTGTGAATTTTGTATATTTAATAGACCTATAAACCGAAAGAAAATTTTATGCAACAATGTAAGGCTTTGCCTTCATAAAATTCAGACTCGAAATTTCAATCTACAGAATCTATTTCTTGATGTGCCCTCTTCTTCAACAAAACACAATATCAGAAACATTGATGAAACATAATCAATATAGAACAACAAAAATAAACAAGAAACTACAAGATATTCCCATGAATGAATCACATGACCGCTCATGGAGAAATATTAAACTACAAAATGTGTTTTTATAAACATACCTTCAAGCGTCTCGCATTGCTCTAAATTATGATAATCAGTTCTTCTGAGTATACCAGACCTAAATCCACGAACTAAACCCTCCAAATAACCTCCATCGACGTTGAAAAACAGATCAGAATACATATTTTACAAGCAAAAAGTTTGAGGAAAATTTTGCTTTCTTGTTTATTTCTTTGTTGATTTTCCACACTTGCGCCAGCAATCAATCAGCGGTTTAAATTGAGGTGTTCGTCGTGTAAGCGCAAATATAATGGCTCCATCTGGTGAACCAGACTGGCCCGGTAAGCCGGGCTGGGCGGCTGGCGGCTTGCTTTACCGGTCCAAGTTGATTTGTTTCACATAAGGCGGGCTAGCCCAGCCAGCCCTATTGAAATTCCCGCACGATTTTTGGCGGGAATGCGATATTTGTTTTCTCTCGCAAAATGTTAATTTTTATTCAATTGACCGCGGAAACCGTTTCAGAATTCTTAATTTTGTTGGTTCCTCATTTGTTTTGAATTTTTAGATGCTTTCTAGACGGAATAAAGCATGTGTTGTGACACAATTTCCAGCCCGGTTTGCTGCACACGTAAAATCTCACAACTTGTCAACAAGATGTCCACAACAGGCTTGCAGCGCTTCTGAACAAGTTGTAACAATGATGTTAATTTATCAAGTTGTTACAAGGTTGTCACTCACAATTACTTGTTGACAAATTGTTGAATTGTAGGACGACAACAAGTTGTTGGAACAACTTGTAATATATTTGTTGAGCTCAACAACTTTGTAGCAAATTATCAACAAGCCGTTGACAACTTGTCAACAAACCCAAACAAGCAATGCAAACACAGCATTGCTACAAGTCTACTGCAGGTTTGTAGTTACAACTCAGTGTGCGTTTTTACGTGTGTAAGTGCGTTCATCTGAGCTCGGGTAGGCGAGATCTCGCCTCGTTCATAGATATCTTATATACACTAGATAGTGCATCTAATTATTCTGAAATTCAAAAATTGAAGCCGTGATTGGAGACTCGGGATATTCCCATGAAATGAGAAGACTCGTATGTTTTCTATTTCTTAAACAGGGAACTTAAACATTAAATTAAACCTATTCCAAATACATTTTCAAACTATTCAAATGATCGGAAAGTTATTGATGCTTTTTAAGCGTTTATTAGCGAGTGGGAAAATCCAACATGGCCGCCATCTATTCAAATGGGGGGTAACTGCTGGAATATTCTTGGCTTCAAATTTACTAAAAGAGATGCGCTATCTAGTGTATATAAGATATCTATGGCCTCGTTCAAGCGGTTCCCATGTGAATCAAATTTCGAAAACATATAAAAACAACATTGCGAGTCAAACAAGATCATACGAACAGTCCCTTGGTTCAAGTCATTTGCAAGCGCGCCAATTAAAATTTATCGTCTGATTTTTTCTACAGAGTTGAACCGGGTACCACGCCTACACGCGTAAAAACGCACCACAAGTTATAACAAAGTTGCAGTAGAATTGTAGCAATGCTGTTCCAAAAACTTGTCAACAGGATGTTTTCGCACTGCTTGTTTCCAGCTTGTTGACAAGTTGTCGAAGGCTTGTTGACAACTTGCTGTAAGGTTGTTGAGATGAACAGACTTAAATTCTTTGTAGAACAGACTTGAACAGACTTGTTACAAGTTGTTCCAGCAACTTGTTATTGTTCTGCGATTCCACAATTTGTCAACAAGTTGTACGGTGACAACTTTGTAGCAACTTCACAAAATAACAGCATTGTTACAACTTGTTGACAAACTTGCTACAAGCCTGTTGCGAACACATCTTGTTGACAAATGACAAGTTGTGAGATATTCACGCGTGTACACACGTAAAAATCTCACAACTTGTCAACAAGATGTGTTCGCAACATGCTTGTAGCAAGCTTGTCAACAAGTTGTAACAATGCTGTTATTTTATCATGTTGCTACAAGTTGGCACTCACAACTTGTTGACAAATTGTTGAAATGCACCGGCCGGTTGTTCAAAAGCCAGTTAGCCTAACCCTGGGTTAAAACAAATATATACATTAAATTTTCCAACAGCTCATCAATCAAGTTGAATATGTTTTTCCAGAAATCTTTTCTGGCTCAATAGAGATTTTATTTTCTAAAGTTTTGAAACAAATGATCATGCAGAAGTACATAAACAAAAACAGCAGGTTAGAATTTAACCCAGGTTAGCGCTAATCGGGCTTTGAACAACCGGTCCCAGGACGATAACAAGTTGTTGGAACAACTTGTAACAAGTCTGTTGAGCTCAACAACCTTGTAGCAAGTTGTTGACAAGGCGTTGACAACTTGTCAACAAGCTGGGAAACAGCATTGCTACAAGTCTGCTACAAGTTTGTTACAACTTGTGCATTTTTACGTATGTAATTCAGACAGTGCACATGATTGCATTCAATCGAGGACTAGTGGACTACACACATAAAAACACACAAGTTGTTACAGGTCTGCAAACAAGTTGTTACAAATCTGTTCACAAGCTGTCGACAAGTTGTGTTCGCACTGCTTGTTCCCAGTTGTTGTAACAAGTTGCTGTTAACAACTTGTAACAAGCCTGATGGTATTATCAGACTTGTTACAAGGTTGTTCTAACACGTTTGATACAGTAGTGATGTAACAAGAATGTAACAAGGTGGACGACAAAGGATTGTAACAATATTGTTATATCATGACTGTATCAGACTTGTTGGCACAACATTGTAACAAGTCTGATAATATCAACAAGGTTGTTACAAGTTGTTCACGCTTGTTCCAAACTTGTTGTCAACATAATTGGGACAAGCAGTGCGAACACAACTTGTTGATGGCTTGTTGGCAGAGCGACAAGCTGTATATGTCTTCGCACTGCTTGTTACCAGTTGTTGTAACCAGTTTAGAACAAGCTGTTAACAACTTGTAACAAGCTTGATGGTATTATCAGACTTGTTACAAGGTTATTCCAACAAGTCTGATACGGTCATGATACAACCTTGAAAAAACCTTGTAACAAGTCTGATAATAAGTTCTTTGAATGTTTGCATGGCGATAAAATATAATTGTTTTTGTTTGTGGAAACACCACGTAAATTTATTACCGCAACAAAGTCTGATAATAAGTCTATTATTAAGTCTGATAATATCAACAAGGTTGTTACAAGTTGTTCACAGCTTGTTCCAAACTTATTGAAAACTGCGTACAAGCAGTGCGAACACAACTTGTTGACGGCTTGTTGGCATACTTGCTACAAGATGTGAGTGTGTAGTTGAGTACTTGACTGAGAATGTCAAAGTATGTCGTTGATTTCCTTCTGGTTTTAACAATAGAAATACGAAACCATGCATTTTATTTACAAAATCATTTGGTTACATAATGTTGACAAAAAGCTAGGCCTCTTTATCAAAGTTAATCAATAACTATTGCCCATTGTTCCATTTGCTGTTCTTACAATGTTCGTCTATATTAGTTCTATCTATTTTAAAAAGTTATACATATACTTAGATTACGAATATAGTTATATAGTGTGTCAGTATTCGTTAACAACTTTCAAAATTCAAAATTCTCCAAATTTACAAGAACTGCAGAAGCAAATACCCTTGCCTCAGCCATTGAGGGTAATCTCTTCCAAGAATTTGATGAAAAGTTGAAACAATCCACTGCATCAGAGTTGTACCCCACATCACCAATTACAATAAGCGTGTTTCCACGACAAACACACAAACAGTCAGCTCGTTTCATTTTCATGGCCAATAGGATCTTATTCTGGCCAGTTTTGAAATCGTACTCGATAATCGCATTGCTGGCTTTCTGTGCGTCGATACCGTCCACGCCTCCAATCAAAAGCATGGTGTCACCACGACGAACTGTGCCCATACGGCAAACACGAGATGGCAGTGGTGGCATTTCAACACATTCATTTCTTGCTATGTCGAATATTTCCACATCAGTTTCAGCTCCAGCACCACCAGCGATTAAAACCTTCTCGTCGAACAACTCCACTCCATGGTACGCTCGTTTCTTCTTCATGTGACAAAGCAACTTGGATGAATACGGAGGAACAAGGAGAAGCTCGTATATCGTGTCCAAATTCTCGCCTGACCTCGTTTCGCCACCAATAATCAGCAAACGATCCCCATGGACGACGCACTTGTGATCAGAGACCTTGATAGGAAGATTGACAAAAAAGTCATGCCATTCTGGAGGATTACCATTCAGATCCAATACTTCTATGCTATCCAGATACCCATCAGATTTGTGGAACCCACCACAAACAAACAATTGATTCTTAAGCACTAAAGCTGCAGAATTCGTTCGAGCTATTTTCAACCGAGGCAGTTGTGCCCAGGTTTGGTTTAACAAGTTAAATCGCTCAACAGAAGAAAGGAACAGTTTTGTTTTGGGATTGAAACCTGCGATGACAACAATATCAGTACTCTTGGAGTTTACAGACTTTTGCAGACTTTCAAACGCAATCGTCAATCGTTGAATGCCTTCTCTCATTTCTTCCATCATTTCATGTTGCGTGGCTTTCATTTCTGTCAGACCCTGCTTTACTTCATCCATTTCACGTCGTAGGACGCAGCCATGGGCGCCATATTCAAGGTGAGGCATTTTTTTCCCACAGTCGTCACAGGTCGTCGTCTTGAAGCGACATAAATCGAGCTCGTGTTGCTTTACATCGCGTTTGCTCACGACTTCGTCACAACCTTCATTGGAGCAAGTGACAGGCATGAAATCACAGTCCTGAACGTGTGCCTGTAGAGCTCCAAGCTCGAGAACCGCATCACAGCCTCTCGCTGCATGGTCACAACTGATCTTGTAACGTGAAACACAGTCGGCCACAATTCTTGGAGCCTTACGCAATGTCTCTACCGTCAGTTTCTCTTGACAGACAGGACAACTATGCGAGGTCTTCTCCAGGTGTTTCTTGATACAACCAGAACAGAAATAGTGCTCGTTCTTCTCACATTGCTTTGGATCTTGTAAGACACCGAGACAGATACAGCAAACAAAGCCCTCGTCAATAGGTGAATCAAGCGAGTTGTGTCGTAACCCTCGGCCATATTCTTCACAATACAATCACGATCAAAGTTAAGTTACATCTTGGAACATA